TCGGTGCCGTTCTCGGGGACGGTCGCGTTCAAATCAGCCGGAGGGGGAGCTTTTACTCAATTCTCTTTTTTCCCTCGGCTACGGGAAAACAAAACTTTTCAGTGCCTGGACAGGTAACTCTGGGCAGCCAGGCTCGGGTGCGCCGGCACCCAGCGGCGGGGGAAACCCGGGGCGGGGGGGGGGGGGTCCCCCTTTTTTTTCAGCATAGAACAGTTTCCAGAGGATTCATGTCCCTTTGGGGTGTTTAATGGAACTGTAGAGAGAATGGTGTCAGCGTCCAGAAAACACCGATGAGGAAGCCCGCGTCCACCGCTCTTTACAAAGAAAAGCAGGGATTTTGTATCCAGTAACATCTTTTTTTCCCGCTGTTAGAGGGACATCAAAATGTAAGCGTTGAAATACTGAGTTTCGGGCTGAGATGTTCTCATTGCTTGGTTCTTACATGATATTGTACAGAAACGTTTTATTTGATGTAAGTACATGCTTACTCCGGGGAGTGGGATTTCCAAGTGCTCCTGTTGCATGTCTTCAGCAGCAACAGAGAAAGATTAGACTGCTTTAAGGAAAATGCTTAACTGGGAATTAATAAACCTCCTAAGAACAGTCATCTTTGAGCTTTTGTATGGAAACAGTAGGCCTCTATTTGCCAGAAACTTGAAATCAGGTGATAACGGGTTGCAACTTAATATGTCTGTAAATGGAGAGCTGAACGTGAAACAAGGTAAATGGAGTAATATGTACCGCTCACCCAAGGTTACTCAAGCAAGCCTTTACGCAGCTGGGGAGGAAAAAAGCATGACTGCACTGTTGTTCAGCCATCTGACGTTTCCTTTCATCGTGAGCTTCCCCCTGGGAAAATGGATGACAGGGTCGCTGTCTGCAAACAAACAAGTCGCATGGCTGCTCCCGACTTAGTTCTCGGCGTTGGGAAAGCATCACAAGAGGAAATTGTACAAGGAGCTGGGATGTTGCATTATAATTATTTTTTGGTTTTGACAGCAGATCCCATCAGGGAAACTGGCTCAAAGACTTGCCATGAAGTGCCCTGGACCTCCAGAGAGCTCGAGACTTGCCTTCTTCCTGGAAAATGCCTTAGCCAGAGAGACTCAGATTTGGAAAGTGCCAGCTTTCCAGAATTTCACCCTGAAGGTATTTTCCCTTGTCCTCTTTGGAGGTGCTTAAGGGACTCTGCAGAGATGCAGTGCTGGTCCTGCCATCTAATCCACCTGAATGCCAAAGTCATCCCGCGCAGACTAAGCTTAAGGAATGGAGGGGGAGGAGGGTCTGTGTTTGTTCCATCTTGCATCTTATTAATGCCCCATGTAAACCAGGTGCTTTGCATTTTGTTTTGACTCAGGTAGTTTTGGGAAATCTGGTAGAGCAGGTAAGAGCAGGCAATTGATGGTAAAGCCATAAATATATCATGTTAGAGTTAACTGTGCTTGGCACCATCTCCGAGTCCCATCTATTCAGATGGGAGAAAAGGGAACTTGCTGAGGCCTGACAGAAACTCAGCCCTGTTCCCGGCTGCTAAAGTGAGCTGGTCTGCTACCTTAGGAAGCTACAACACTTAACTGGAAACAGTTATGTTCAGCTGCTTCTGTAAAGTGCATCAGAGCCATGGAATAATGCACAGAAGTGCCCTGCCAGCCTTGTCTCTTTCTTGCAACAGTGTAGAAATGCTATTTTTTTACCAAATATTTTTACTACCAAATTAAGCAAAACAGCGAAATGGATAATGTGACGAGTAATGTTAAAGTAATTGGTGGTAAATGTTGTCTGTTCTGTGTAGCTGCTCAGCCCTTTCAGTTCTCCTACAATGATGTTCAGATACGTGCCATGGGTAACGTGTGGCATTGTAAGGGCAGCCAGAGTGAAGTCCTTCCTCTCACCTGAATGCATCTTCAAATAAGATAGAAGAAAGAAAAAAAAAATGAGTACATTTTGCTTTGTGCCTTGGGGGAGTCATAAACCTGGCTTCCGTGGTCCCAACGCTAAGCGAATTCGAGGGCTGTTAAAAAAGAAATCTTGCCAAGTAAATCAAAACCTGCTCCTGACTCCAGTTTCTCTCTCCCTGTCGAGGCTGTCTGAGTGAAACACTGCTGCATCGGAGGCTGCGGTTTTCTCAGGAGGGGGAATAATGAGCGCACTCAGCACCTTGTTTGTAAGAGCTCAGTTCTACGGTTCATACCCACTGTGCAAGGGGAGGGCTGGATGCTTCCTATTCAGTACAACCAGTACCACCCAGTACCAGGCCCTTGTAAGGACAGCTAGAGCCTGACTGGGTGGGCAGCACAAATGGATGCTTTAAACCACTCTGAAATTTGCCCTTGCCCTCCCTCTGTAGACACAGCCAACAACTTCCCTCATTTCAAGCCTCCAGACATCTGCAGTGTTAATTAGAGCACTTGGAATGATTTGAGTCTTCCTTTGGAGATATGTTAACAAAATCATCAAAGCACTAACTGTATTTTTCTTCTAACTTTTTCTTCCCCTCAGGGCACAGATATCTCTCTGTCGTGTTACAAGAAAGCAATTCTCTGGATTGCAGAAATAAGCTCTCAGTTCCAGTTTTACCCTGAAACATTTGCCTTAGCTACCAGCATCCTTAACCGGTTATTGGCATCAGTAAAGGTAAAGAATCTCCATCAGCATTTTTTCTAGCTAGATTACTGACTGGGGATGTAAGGAGTCTGTAATCAGTTTATATACAAAGCAGGTACTATGTTTGGCAGCAGATTTAAGGAGCAGTCAGGGTCTTTGCTGGGGAAGGTTTTTAAGCACACACACACACACACATATATATATATATATATATATATGAACTTGAGTGTTTGATGAAGTTCCACTGATTCAAAGTCCTTGGTAGAACTGTTTGTGTGAATTGTAGTCCAAAAGCTGTGATAAGTACAAAGAACTCATTATCATCTGGTTGTCCCTGCTAAACAGAAAACATTTTCATTATTACTTTTAATATTTTAGTTTTGAAACCACTATTTTTAGCCAAACTGTGGGGCCAACTTTTGCTGCTATTGAAGTAACAACAAAGGTATGAGTTAAACTGAGCCTTGCAGCTTTCAATTCTATTTAGACCAATACTGACATTTGGCAAAAGCATATTAATTAGTATCTCAGCCAAGAAGAGGAACAGCATTGCATTGTAAATGCTGTGGCATTGCGTAGTCTAAAAATTGCAGGCTGCACCAAGAAGAGGATTTCTTTTGTTTCACTTTGGATTTCCTTGCTCTATTTCCAGCTTCAAATTAATCTTTCTGCAGCTAAGCTAATTCAGAAGCAACTGTAATTTAAATGGAAGTTTGAAACTTGTGCATCTGTCGTAGAACAACAGTTATTTCCCCCAAGACTGTTATCTTCTTCACTCAGTGTTTTCTTCTTCTCCCTTCAGGCCCAATTAAAATATCTTCAGTGCATAGCAGTTTCCTGCCTCATCCTTGCAGCAAAAACCAATGAAGAAGATGAGGTCTGTATGTTTATTTTACTAAACCCCTCTTTTGTGTTCAAGTTCTTCATGTTTCCAGGTCTTTCAACAACTTGGGCATAATGAGGAGATGTTAACTTGTTTACCCTAAGTAATCCTTAAGGGGTAACGGTAACATTTTCAGTCCCTTTTCATCGTTGCTTAGGAGAATTGTGACTTTTATGGATGAAGGACTTGTGTTTGCTGATGTAATGGATGCGTTTCCCTCCTCCTACCTTTACATCTCTCACCTCTCTTCAGAATCCGCAGCGTGCAGTAAAGCTTAGTCTGTCTGGAGCGGGACAGCCAAGATGCACATGCACAGTTTTGTGCAGACAGCATCAGAGTGCTGTAATGCCTTGTTACAGGTCCTGGGAGGGTAAGGTAGGCGAGACAGAGCAGAGGTTCTTCAGAGGAAGTTTAGAATAGATGAGTTTGCTTAGAGTCAGAACTGGTTCCTGAACCTGGTGAGGAAATGACTCAGGTCTGCACCTCAAGGTGAGCATGTAGTATGAGTGACTGACTACTCATGGAAGTGTGAGATCACACCGGATAATCTCTTGTGGCAGAAGTGCACTGACAGGCTTCTTCAGACATGACAAACATGAGCCAAAAGCATTTCAGATCGCGTTTCTCCTCTTCATTCTGCATTGAAAAAGAATAGGAAACTGAGGAGTAGGAGTCAAACCTGCACGTCTCTTTGAACAACGTCTGCTGTAGTGACGTGCTCTTCCTAGCCTTTCTTAGAATGTGTCATGCTGAGGTTCTTCGTTTCCCCTCAGCTAAAAAGGAGAAGCTGAGTCAATGACCGCAGGAAGCCAGGCAACCACAGAAGGCCCTGTAAAACAGGCCAGCAGGAAGCCTCCTTGTCAGAGGAGCAAAACTAACGAGGCTGGTAGCAGGGAATGTGCATCACCAATGCAGCATTAAGAGGCTCGCAGGGACCCAGGAGGTGACCGGCATCGTTCTTGCTGTGGGTTCATAGCCAGCTGCACTGTGGCGAGCATGGACTGGTCTTCATGTAGGATGGGAGTTATCTAGGGAAGTGGACTCCTGAAGGAGCATTCTGCTTAGCACTTTGGGATGTGTATAAACTTGTCAGATCCCTTTGCAATACAGAGAAACACACACAGCACTGTGCAGGACGTTGGCTTCTTTATTGGTTTTAAAATTTTTTTTTTTTTTTTTTACAGGTAATACCATCGGTGAAGATGCTCGCAGTGCAGAGTGGCTGTAAATGCTCTCCAGCTGAGATCTTAAGAATGGAAAGAATTATACTAGATAAGCTTCATTGGGATCTTTACACAGCAACACCAATGGATTTCTTAAACATTGTAAGCACTAAATTTTGCAAATTTTTTTTCTTTAAAGAAACAGCTCCTTATTTGATAAGACTAGAAAACACAGATGCGCACACATACACACACCCACACATCCTTCCCGAGATGCTTTGCAAACTACCTGTTCTGAGCTATCTGCCAGTCTTGAAGAATGTTACAGTGATTTTTTTATTTATTTTTAAAATTTTCTACTATTTAAAACCTTTCATTTTGCTCAAAAAATTTACTCCCATCTTTAAAGGACAAATAAAATTGACATTAAAAAGATTCTCATAATGCACAACTATACGCTGTTTTTATATTTTTAAATACACACTGCAAAAATATTTCTAACTATTTCCATTCTATTAATACTGTACATAGAAAGCTGTCAGAGTTTTGCTACATTTCACACACAGGTTTTTTTTTTTCCTCAAACCATTTTCCTTTTCATCCCGCTAATTATTCACCCTTGTTTCAGGCAATGAGATGACCCCAATCTGGCACTTAGTTCACATTGCAGTTACTAAACATTTGATAGAAACAATTAAATTTTGTCTTCAAGAAACGATCATGTGCTAGTAAGGCAAAAATCATGTGATACAAACACATCCTGGATCCCTTTTTTAAGGTTATGTGCAAATATTAAGCCATCTTAGGCTGCTGATTGTGAAAACTGCCTTTCTTAGGTGCTTGTTTCCTCAGTAAATTCAGAGTGCAGTCATTATTCTTGGTTTTGCTCTATTCTTATATGCTGGCCTGAATTGAATCTCTTAGATAGCAATCTGGATAACGTAGAAACTTCAGAAATTGTTAGGAAACACAGACCTTGTACATTCATTATAAGCTCGAAAAAACAGTTCAATGGTTGGCAAGTACAAACACAAAACACAAAAAAAAAAAAGGGGGGGAAGGGGCGGGGGAAACCTTTTAGGTTTCCTGATATGAGATGAAATTAGTCTGTATTTCTGGTCGATGACATAGGAAAACATACAAAGTTCACTGACCTCTGCTTTTCTGTTTTTTATATATATATATATATATACACTTTATCTTCTCTCCAGTTCCATGCCATGGTGATGTCCAGCTGGCCCCACCTACTACATGGGCTGCCTCAGATGAATCCTTCCCGCCATGTTGCGTTCTTGACCAAACAGCTACAGCACTGTATGGCGTGCCACCAGCTATTGCAGTTTAAGGGCTCCACATTGGCTTTGGTGATCATCACCTTGGAGCTGGAGAGGCTGACTCCTGATTGGTTTCCTGTTATTACTGATCTGCTAAAAAAAGCACAGGTAGGAATCAAAATGGCCTTTGGTCACAGATCTTGAGGCCAGGACGCTGAGAAATGAATAAAGCGCACATGTATTTACAACCAACATTGCACTTTAGAGAGGGAATAAAACTGCAGTTAAGGGCTGGGACTGGGGAGAGGGCTTTCCCTTGGGCAGGGAAGGGAGGTTTCCAAATTGCTTGGCCACAGATAGCTCCCTGCCTGCTGAGCAAGGAGAAATTCTCCCACAACGGGAGTGTCTGAGAGCACCTAAAAACCTGCCCACTGAGTCCCCAGCCTCCCACTGAAGGCTGCGAGAACTTCCTAACTACAGTCACATTGCTTTTAAAATATAATCAATTTGGCTTCTAATGATAGATACCAAAGGCAAGCTCTGGTTTCTGGTTTGGGGTTTCATTTTTTTCAAAGCTTTTCTTCAGTTTCATAAAACACATGCCTTTTAAGAGAATATACCTTGACGGCTAAAGACCCAGGCTGTCAGCTTACCGTTGAACCATTTTGCACTCTTGAATTTGGCTGAAATAACCTAGCCTCCCGCTGTCCTTCCTGACTGTTGTCACCTCCTAAAAAGAGGGAACGCTTGCCCACCTTTTGTGTAGTAGTTCAGGAGCTCCCGGTGACGTGGTTTGCATCAGGGCCAACATGCGTACTGCTGATATGCATCTACTGAGGCATTCAGTACAGCCTGTCCCTGCCCTCCCCCTAATTACAGAGTTACAGGAGCAGTGGCCAGAAGAGAGAATCATTTATTGTCAACTTACAACAAAAGCTGCACCTTTCCTCACAGGTTAACAGCACCGAATTCATCCACTGCAAAGAGCTTGCGGATCAAAAGCTAACACACTTGCAGCCATCCAATGCTGTTTATATTTTCTATCCCATCAGTCAAGCCATCGGGGGCCATCCCAAGGCAAGGCTGCCCTACCACGGCCCTTCTGGACCGAAGAATTCCCATCACGTGAGGCTGAGGGTCGCTGTAAGCCAGCCCGTTTTAGCACCTTACACACCTACTGCAGCCCAAATTCCCGATGACACCATGGAGACTGATGAATACTGTGATGGATTCAGACACCTGTACAGGGAGGATGGGGGAGCGAGCAGTGGGAGGGTGAGGATGAGTGGCTCGTGCCCTCAGCCGAGGCCTGGAGAAGGCAGCTCCCCGTGTCCCCCCTTGCAGCCACCTGAGAGGGACTAGTGGGGAATTACTGCCTCGGAAGCAGCAACGGCAGAACCAGTAGGTCCCAGCGAACAGAACAGCCAACACGACAGAGCAAAATGCTGCTGGGTTTTTCAGAGGAGAATGACAAATTGGTCTGAATCTATTTTTTACATCCTTCCTAAGCAGTGTGTGCTCTCCCTCAGTTTTTAACATCACGTCACTACAGAAAGCTGGGGAGAGGAGGGACTTGGTCACAATCTTGCAACTCAGGGATCAAGTTGGCAGAAGGCTACAAACTGCACTAGAGAGAACCAAACGTCTCAGAGTTTACTTTTTAAAAATAGCTGTGATGAAGTGTGACGGATTGAGCCTGTCACCCAGCTCACTCCAGTGTTCTCTTACTAGAGCTAATCTGACTTGCCCCATGGGAGAGCAAACAGGAGCTGCTTTCGAGGAAGGGGGAGCTCCCACTGCTGCCTCCATTGGTGTAGTCCTCAGGTGGAACCAAGGTTTTGATTTGAGTAGTGAGAAGTCCGAGAACCAAACCTTCCAGTTGTTCTTCAGGCCTTACCCTGGAATCCAGGGGTCTGAGGTCTGTGCTCCTTCCCGGTTAAGCCATTAAAGACCCAACCCCACTTCCTACAAGCTGTGGGAAATCACTTCTTGTCCGCAATCACTGTTGCCTCCAGCCCTCACCAACCAGTCCATGCCATTAGGGTTTTTTTTTAAATTTATTCTGTTTTACCAGACTGGACAATACAAAATGCCTTTAATTAATTCCCACTATCATCACCACATTAGTTTTTATTAACTGCTAATCTCCATAGCAAAGCAGTTTTTACAAACTACCAAGGTCAGTTTAAACCTCTATTGCACTTTCAAAAATCAGCCTTACATATTCTTTTAAAATAAGTGTTTTCTTACTTTTTGTTTTGTTTTAAACAATAGGGCCAGCAGTTTCAGGTGACTGTTATCCCCATTTGAAGGTGTAATCCAGGCAGTGCTGGATGAATACCACCACCAGAGCTGCAGGTCCTGTCACAGAACAGGAAGGGGTTTCAGATGGACTGGCACCAGCTAAATGCTGAGCAGGTGTCTCATGTAACAACACGGGGTAAATAAATAGGGGACAGGAATGAGACAGGAGCAAGGAGGCCCTCACAGTTTCTGGCCTGCCTTCCCTTGTTCATCATCTTACCTTGTAGGAGAGGAATTCCTGAACATCAAACTGTGCAGGACCGATGTCCTGAGCAGCTCCATTAACAAATAACACTTTCCTGAAGTATTACGTTTGCCAGAACTGGCACTGAGAACAGAGCAAGCTTTGTATGTGTGCAGGGAGAAAGCCATGCTTTTCTTTTTAAACCGCAGAGAAAGTGGTGCCTAAGCGTTCCAGAAACATTCAGTATCAGAGACTTAGTACGGATGACAGCAGATGTGACTCGAACCTGCAGTGAAGCCGAAGGAGGTCCCATGAGGCAAGTCAGAGCTGCCGCACACTGTGAACGCTGTGCTGCGCGGGGAGCCTCTGCCCCGGCCAGGGGATGCGCCAGAGCAGGACCTGGCGCCCAGATTTAGACCAGCTGAGGTTTACGAGGTGCCCGCGCAGCCGAGGGCCAGGCAGCGGCACGTGTGGGAGATGTTATTTATTCGTCCTGCCTACGTACCGCAGAGAAGGTTTCGTTTCGTGGTAGGGCTCTTCCCTCCCCCCAGTGCAGCACCTTCCTTTTCTATCACAAGCTGTGACTTGACTGCCTGACTTTTTGAAGGAGGCAAGTTGTCTTTTGTAGTTTTCATTAAATAAAATACAAGTTTGGTCTGCGCGTTCTCAGCGTGCTCCCTGAGGAGTCCAGCCAAGAGCCCACAAAGGTCCCCGCAGGAAGCTGGGGCGCGTCTGGTTCTGCTTTCCCTCCCATCCCTTTGCTGTATCTCAAGCATCTTTACCAGCTGCGTTAACCAGTGGGGATGCCAGCAAAAACCCTCTACACACAGTAATTAACGTGCTGCAACTTTATACCACCACAACCATAGCTCATGCTTTTCCCCCAGCTTTGAGCCGACATACGTAGTTTCTCACCCATAAGCTGGATGACACATTAAAAGCCACAAACGAACCTGCTTTTCAAAACCTCTGCACACCTATATGATCAACGTTCAAAAGTGTGCATTAACAGGGGGTCAAGTCAGCGCTGCTGAAAGGCCCACCAGGGTCCCGTGTTCCCAGTCTGGGTGCAAGATGCCATACTGGGATGGGAACAGTAAATCTGGAGGCTGCCCGCCCTCCCAGGATATGCTGCTTCTCCCTGGCAGCACAGGTCCTTTCTGCACACCTATTCCAGTTAGGATAAAGGAACGAACACTTCTGCCTTGGCCTCAGCAGGTTAAAAGTGCCACTTACCTTTGCATTAAGAACGGCGCTTCCTGCCCTAAAGAACAAACCGCAAGCTACAGGATGAAGCTGCTGTTGCAGTGGGATCGTTCTTGCTACGGAAGGAGCATTTTCAATAGGAAGAGCTGCACAGATTCCCTTTTTACTGGCAGAACGGAGTCTGTGGCTGTCAGCATCTCCCCCCTTACTGGCTGTACGAGTGACAAGACAAACGCCCCGCACACCCAGGTGACAGCAGTAATGGGAGCAATCCTTTTCCCCAGCTGAGTTTCCCAGATGATGACTGTGTGGCTTCTCTGCCTGCTTGGATTGCGCGTGGCACACGGCTGCAGACACAAGTTTATTCTAACCTGCAGCTAAGCTCATCGCTGTGGGTCCCATAGCCACTTTGCTACACACCCGTTACTGGTGAGGAAGTGCCAGATTCAGCTGGCAGAGCGAGTGCTGGCAGAGATCTGACGCATTCAGGGCTAGTTCTGTGAGGATTGTTGTTTTGGGGAACATACTTGGTCCCTGTAAAACTCCAGAGAATGTTCACAGAGTATGTTCAAAGAGCTCTTACGGTGCCTCATCTTGTCCTGGTCAGGAGGGGCTGCTGCCTCCCTCCCTCCAAGCAGGAGCACGGCACAGCTCCCCATCCCGGGCTCTGGCCCTCCGCAGGGAAGCGAGGGCTGGTTTCTGTCAGCAATGGCAGGATCCCTTCCCGGAAGGCGCCTCGGCCAGGTGAAGCACCCAGACCCCCTGTGCTGTTGCCTTACTTCAGGCCAAATTTCTAGATCATAGAATTGTTCAGGTTGGAAAAGCCCTTTAAGCTCACCAAGCCCAACCATTCCCCTACCCCTGCCATCCCACCACTAAACCCTGTCCCTAAGCACCGCGTCTGCCCAGCTTTTAAATACCCCCAGGGATGGGGACTCGACCCCTTCCCTGGGCAGCCTGTTCAGATGCCTGGAGCTGAACACCACCTTGTAAACAAAACTGCAATTGCATCCGAAATCCCCTACAGTATCCTCAGAATTGTTCTGTCCTTCAAGAAGCTTCCTGGCAGACACCGCTGCTGCACACGGATGCTCAGATTCTGAATCGGAACCAAAACATAAACCGAACATTCAAGTCACCTACAGACACAGCGAAGCACTTCAGAGTCACCCCCCAGCTGCCGCCACATCCCCCATTCACAAACCACCACCAGAAGGAAACGTGTCAGAGCTAAAGCAAGTCACCCAGGAACTGGGACGTGCAAGGACGGAGCTGCCTCGCTGCGGGCCAGCGTTCACCAGCGCGCTTCAGATAAACCTGACTCGGTGACGCTACCTACGGTGGGCGTGCGATGACCTAGAAGAAGAGTTCAGTTGCACAGCTGCACAAATAAAGAAACTTCTGTGGTCAGAGAATTGGCCAAGATATAAGAAAACAGCAGAGGGAAGAGCGATACCATGGTTGTTTTAGCGTATTACAGGTTTCTGACAAAATTTGCGGAGACATCAAACGCACAGAAGCGCTGCAGAGCAACCAGCACCAGGATGACAGAAAGATCTTTCGGAGCACCCAGCAGGACGTTACCGAGACCAAGTGCTTTCTGACATGTATAAACCTTTTATGTGTTCATTCTTTCGGGCTGCCTCTATATCTCATCAGGTTACCTCTGTGACTGTTTTGGGGTTTTTTCCCCCTAATTGGCTTTAGTATTTTGAATTCCATTTGAACAGTACTTACAGTTTGATTCTTTAAGAATGCAGAAAAGTATGCTTAGACCAAATGATGCATTAACTCCTGGCAGGTCTCAGCAGCTCCCCCTCATTCTTCCTCAGCAAGGCGTGCAGCTTGACTCCCATTGGTGACCACACTACGGTCACAGCAAACAGAACTTACTCAAATCTGAGAAATTTGGAAAAACCACCCCAAAAAAGCTTTTATTTCCAATTCACCTATCCAGATGGGAATCTAACTTGGCAATAGCTCCAAACCGGATTAAAGCTTGGCCAAAGGAATTAGATGGGTTTCCCTCAAAAGAGAACACAGGCAAGTTTAAAGCAGTCATCAAAGCAGCAGCAAAGGGCATTTTGTTGCTCAGCTCAGCCCGATGGTCTCACACTGCTTCAGCTTTCCTCCTGCTTGCTGCAGGGCACAACAGACATGCAGACAGACAGAGCCATCCAGAGTGGACTTCCAGCTCTGAACCCACTGCCTGGTCTGACCCTGGTTGCTTCTTCCCCAGCTCCCACTTCCACCACAGCACGCCGTGCCTTTGTCCCCACCCGCCGCGGCAGCAGGGCCAGGCAGGGATGAGCCTCATGGGATGAACATGCTTGTCACAGGGCTTTGTCCCTACAGCCTGCAAGTGGCAGGTGTCTCCAGAACTTCCCCATGTGCCCAGTTGGGTTATTTTCAGGCCACGTACCTGTTACTCGCTGAGATTTATTTCCAAGTCCTAATTTATGCCCAGGGCATCCAGAGGTTTCAGCGACTGTCACGTGCAACACACCCCGGGGACAGGAGCTCTGTGCCTGCGGCAGTTGGTGCCTCTGCACCATCCTCTCCGTCCCAACAAACTCCTGGGTGGTGCTGGGGACCCAGCCTGCTCAGCAGGAGCCTCGCTGGGCTCCTGCCACCCACCCTGCTGCTCGCAGCCGGATCTTGTCCTGCTCCAGTCACACTACCCAGCACAAGGTAGGGGGACGGGGTGCAAGCTTCCTTCAAACCTCCTACCAAGGCCAGGTTTCCTGCTGGTCCTGCACCCCCAGCCCCACGGCATCCTTGCGGAGGGAGGGAGGCTCCTGACAGCAGCCCCAGATGTACGGGGGTGTGCAGGGGACATCACACTTCAAGCACAGATATGCAGGGTAAGGGGGTTAACAGAGAGAAACTGGAGTCATAGTGAGGGTTGGGAGTTTGGACACAGCACTGTGTTGTTCCAGTGAATACAACTGGCATACAAAAGTTGTTTTTAACAGCTGTTTGTTAAACAAGTCAGTTTTGTTTTTATTAAACCCAACTTTGGTACAAGCAGGTCATTCCTGAGATTCATTTACAAGGTCATTTTGAAACGAAGATCAACTGGGGCCTCTCCCTGTTCCTGGGTGAAGTTAGACTGGGGCACAGACATCACACTTTTTTTTTTACCCCCCTTTTAAACAGGTATTTGTGTAAGGGGAAATCAGTCTGTTACAAACACAGAACTCGCAACCAGGAATGTCGAGTCTCCAGCTTTAAACCACTTCCCCTCCATTAACATATAACATTTAGTTGTCTTTTAAAATGGTTCCATTCTCACCCACATCCCAGTGGGACGTGCCGGAGTCCGGACTGGCCAGGCGGGATTACCCGTCCCCGAAGCAGCGAGTGGGGAGGTGGGCAGGGAGCTCTGGGGAGGGGGTTAAGTTGTGAGGCATGCATGGGCAGGCCTAGGAAAGCTAAAAACAAATGAAGGTTGGGGGATTTGGGTTATAAAACCTGTAAAGCTACAGAAAAAAAGCTACACGGAAGAGTTATTGCTAAGAAACGTGAAAATCCAGCAGGAAGGTTAGGGAGGTTAGGAGGATCTCCAGTTACACCCCAAAACCAGACCGAGGAGGGGACACACGGAAACCCCGTGCCGGCAGCAGCTCAAGCAGCAAGCTGAAACCTCGCCTCGCGCTGACCCAGCTTTGTCCCTCTCTCTCTGGAAGTTCGCTCAGTTAACTGCTGCGTAGGGGCTCTCGCCCAGGGATTAGCGTTTCGGTTTTAGTGCAAGCCATGCAGCAGCCTTAGTTAGCAATTTATCTTTTGGCAAGTATCTTAGATTTCGACTTTATCGAGAAACCTGATCAAGCAAACTTTTCCCAATCAAAAGATACGGTGCCTCTTAGTCCTTGCTCTATAATCTCTTCTGTGCAATACATGGCAAGCTTAAAGGTGAAAGCACCAATTAATTTCTTCTGCATGAGATGTTTTGGCCTTAATAAATCTTCTAATTAACATGTCTTCCTGATGTTATGGAGCACGCACTGGGAAGACTAAAAAAGCTACAGAGAGAACAAAAGAGAATCAGTATTTAAGTTTCAGTTATTTACATTAATTAAAGACAGCATGAAAGGTCAAAGTACAAATTAACGTATGCCGCCTGATAGCGCGGGGGGCTGGCTACATAGGAGGCATCTGAATTTAAACCATCACAACTTGGAGCAGCTCTCGTGGCTGCCGAGATGTTGTTTGGAACTGGTAATCAGAGGATTGATTTAAAATTTTAATGACGAAAGACTGCTGACAAGGGAAGATCTGAGAAGTCAACGTGATAGGGAGACACAGGATGGGGAGAGGTGCGGAGCCGTCTCCAGCCCAGCCAGGACTGCAGGTGCCACCGACCAGTGCGGGCAGCCCGAGCCGGCTCTTCCAAACCGGCAGAGCCAGTGGCTTTGCTCTGCCCTTGCCTTGCAGGTTATGTCCCTCAGCTGCACAGTCCTCCCTATCGAGCAGCCTAGGACAAGGCTGGGTTTGGGCTGTGTCCTGGATGGAAAGCATCAGCATGGCCAAGGGCCTTGGTCACCCAGCTCGAGCTCTGGAACTGCAAACCACGGACAGTACCTACCTCACTGCTGAACGGCTTTTGTAACAACGCTTTGCATTTCGAATTCTCTTGCAAGCACCTCTAGGAGCTTTGCACAAACATTAATGAATGATCTTAACATCGCTCCTGTGGAAAAATACTTGCCAATGTACGTCATCCTAAATCCCCAGGCGGCCTGTCTTCACAATGACCAGCTCCCTCTGCCACCTTAGTTTCCCAATTAATGCTTATGTACCTGAATGCGCTTTCTCTTCTCTGGCCTCCTAGAAGATTTGGCTTTACAAAGTATTGGGATGGAAAAGGTTGTAAAGCATTTCAAACAGACCACTTGGGATCAACTGCTAAGTCTCCACGAAGGCTTATCCTTCAAAAATGTAACAGGTTCAAGCCACACAACTCTAACCCAGAGCAGGCTCAGACTTTTCACCCCCACTCTGTCGGTGATTGCTACAGGCAATATCACACCAGCTCCAACCACCGCTGCTGGTCAGCTCTCTGCAGGTGGACATACAGTGTCCGTACGGCACGGTACTGTGGCTGGGGTAACCATCCCAGCCTTGTGAGAAGGTGGGACACAAACAAGAGCACATATGACCAGAACTGCCCCCTGCCTTTTAAGCAAGCTGCGTATTAAATGCAAAAAGCAGAGGTCTCTTACACAAGCCAACTCCTGCAGCAGTAGCACAATCCCTCTGCACATCTCTAAAAGATTCAGCAGCAGCTGGTGTCACCAACTTGGTTTTGCTCCTGAAACTGGGGCTGCAGGAAAAGCTCCCATCAGAAGCACCACTTCAGCAAACACTGTGCATCAGCCAAACCCCACTGGTGGGTTTTGTCTTAAGCGCAGCATTTATCTCAGTCCAATACCAAATAAAACGCAGAGACACCCTAAATTAACTGAACACGACTTCATACGTAGCAGTGCCCCAACAGAACAGACACCAGGAACGGGCCCTTCAGGTGAAGCTTCAGCAGCAGCTCTCTCTGAAAAAAGGACCCCAAAGTAAAGCTGTGCTCTTTTTTTTTTTTTGGCCTCGATCTAAGCATATGATATGCCTCTCTAGAAAAAGCATACAGCTTTGGAAGTACCCTTAGGAAACTATCGCCCTCCTTCTCTGCTCCCTTTTCATTCTGCCCTTAAATCGCCTCTTCGGGCGTCATTACAACAGCAAAACCGCTGGTAAATCTGCCCGCTCAGTCACCAGATCCCACAAGGGAGAAGTACAAACAAGCCTGAGGGCAACTTTTGCCCAAATAGGGATGGCATTTGAATTAATTAACCTTCGAATTTCTCCCCAGATTACAGACGAGGTGCTTTTCGGCATACTGTGTGATTAGCTAATTGTTAATTAACTAGCTGATTTTATTTTTGAATGTTCCCAATCGTCAGAAGACATCCTGTGACCAGTAAGCTTTCAATCATTACACGTTATTATTTCAACAGAGGTCTACCAGATAAGAGAGGAAATCCACCGCTAAATAAACGACACCACAAAAACTCAAAATACATGTGAGATTTAATGAAAGAAAAAAAAAAAAGTACAAAGTGAGTGGAAAGAATTGAAAGTCAAAAAAAAACAAAAAAACACCCCCAAAAAAAAAACCAAAACCAAAAACCCAGCACATTTGGAATGGTTTGGAACGACCAAGCGAACAGACGCAGCAGGTCCGAGAGGCTGCCACCTGCCCCAGGCAGGTCCCCGGGGCACCTCCCCGTGCTCCGAGCCAACCGCCCCATCTCCACCCCTGGGGCATCCACCACAGCCAGACGTGAAGCTTACAGAGCTTAGAGCCCCACAAAACACATTTTAAATTAGAAAGCAGACAACAGACATGACAGTAAATGCTTAAATGATTAAAAAAACAGATCGTTTTTCCCATTAATACCAACCTTTTACAGATAAGCATATAAAACAGCTGAAGGATGTGTAACTGAACAGCTTCAGCCATGTCTGAAGGGTTTTTCTTTTACTTCTAGCCTACGAGACGTAAATCTTCGGACTGGAGTGAGATTAGCATCACTGTGCATTTGTAACTTGTTAAATAAAAATAAGAGACAGAACTACCCTCTATAGCACATACTTAAATCTTGTCTCAGCCAAAAGGAAAAATCGAGTAAAAAAAAAAAAAAAATTACTGAGTCCCACTGGGGAGATTATGATGTTGGCTGCTCTAAAGAACAAGTAACTAGGAGGAAAAGGTACATCCGTCACAACATAAAGTCAATGTATATATAATCATCATCATCATCAAAATATTGTTACATACATTCTGAATGTCTTCATCAGAAAAAGCTGGAAATTTCTCCACAATGCCCATGGATTTGAAGGTTTTTACTCTTTCATTATCATTATTTGTAATTACCTGCTATTCTAGGAAAAAAAGAATTGATCTCTGACGAGCCAGGGCAGACAGAAATTATTTGCATAGATCTTGCTGGCTGCAGCATGAGATCGGGAGAAAACTATTGACTGGAAGAGTGCTGGCCAGGCAGCTGTTTGCATACCCAATATCATCTGTTATTGTTTTATCCCAGCCTTCGTAGCATTGGCCTTGAGAAGCAAAACGATGAACCAAACAGTGCTGCTTACTCATGCAGTTAGTGCATCAGGTTCTCTCATCAGGAGAAAAAAAAAGGAAAAAATTTTAAAAAAATCAAATTTGCTACGTGATTGGCCTGTAGTCAGTGATGAGCTGGACTTGCCTTCTGGAATGTAACAATAGGTTGGGTAACCCTCCTAACATTTGACAGTTACTCTTTAAAATACATCTAAACTGGAGGCACAGACTTAAAAATTAAATGTTCAGCTTTCAGCAGACTCCTAATAAGTGTGCATCATTTTACTCTTTGAGAAATGGCCTGTTCTGAAAGGTACCTGTGAGATCTTCATGAGGTTCTTTCTTACATGCATCAAGTAACACTGACAGGGTTTTCCATATACCCATATAAAAGGCCAATGTCCATATGAAAACAGTTTAACACCTGAGCAGGTATTTAGGGAAATAAATAAAAAAAAAAAAGCTGCTTTAATGGAATTTGCAAGTTAAAGAACCTTGGTTTATGATCCAGCAAAACGCTACCCTCAGAGACCTGTGACGGCTCAGATGCAAGGCTGTGCACCTCCACCTGCAAGTCAGATAACGAATTTGCTGACATCTTAGCTTAAAGACAAGTCTTTGCGAAAAAAAAAAAAAAATTAGAGAAATCCTGTAACATTAATAACTAAATAAAATGCACACATTCACAACTAACACTTAGCCAGCCAGTGTTTTTATAACCTCTAAAGACACTATGTGGAGTTAATCTAAAATATTTGCTTTCTTTTAGCCTATTATCTGATGGATGGAAGGAATTTGGGCCAACTATTTTTCCATGACAACATAGCTTGTAAGTCTCTATTCAGTTATCGTCCTGCCTTATCACAGAACGGTTTGAGTGGAAAAAAAAATAATATTGATCCTAATTATTCCTCTAAGCTTAGTTGCCCAGGAAAACAAGGCTGTGGTTTCTAGGCATGGGGAGTGTTAAAGGAAGCACCTTTTAAGAGGAACAGAGCCTATCAGTATAAATATGATGTGCAGCTCAAGACAGGGGATTCTCCTTATTAGGCACATTATAAGTTTAAGGTTAAAGAGGAAAAGTAAAGATGACCGCTTAAATAGTTTTTCCACAACAGTAAAATACATTGGTAAATGACAAGTGGAGAGTTACACAAATCCTGTAGTTCCACATTATACAACAAACTCCTATGAAAAAACGTTTCTATATAAATGGTCTACTTTAGCAGTAAAGAAAATTCAAAACATTGTCCCATGAATTTTATTAACCACTCTCTTTTTTTATATATATTTATATATATATTATAAATGATGTAGAAAGTGTTTAGAGTAATTTGGGATTAAAATATATAATTACTGGAATGAGGGTTACTCCCACTAAGATTCCCAGGGCAAAGAGTCTGAGCACTGGGGTTTTCCACCCATTCTAAAAAGTTACTCAACTAGACAATTTTGTTAGAAAAATAAACGTTTCAGCATTCTTCATACCACTCCTCACATTTACGCGTGTACAAGGGAAGGCAGATGAGTCTCAAGCAGTCACCTTAGCCAATTAAAAAAAAAAAAAAATAGAAAGCAACTATTTAGCTGGTGGGTAAGATGAGTTCAGACAAACAGTTATGGTCACTTTATACATGGCTGTTCAATCACTGGGTTTAGAACAAAACATCTTACTTCAGGGATTAGTTGACTTTGCTTAACAAGACGTGCATGGTAAGGTTACTTCCTTAAAACCTCCCGATAAATTCTGTACTGATAACAGCGAGTCGTTACACTGCAACCACCGAAGATGCTCATTTTCTCTTTCACTTTGGTCCACTCACACAATGTTATGAGAAGGGTCACAGGGTGGGAAACTCAAGCAACTTAACACATGAAAGCACCAAGTCCACTCTTGGCCTGAAAGTCTGTGTGTGATTAACTGAAAGAAACAAAACATAAAAAAAAAGCATGAATTAAAGTTGTGAAAATTAAACAAAAGCAAAATGTAGCGAAATATGTTAAAAACAAAAAAAAAAGGAAGAGACAGGCAAACGCTGCTCAGGCATCTGAAGACTCACAGACGAGAGCAAGCCCCCGGCACGGTGAGCTCCGCGCCGCAGAGCACGACCCGCTTGGCAGCTGCAAGCGCGAAAATGAACCTCAGCACAAACACTTTTATTTGCCCTCAACACCTGCAATTCTTCCTTCTCCATTTTTTACTTACTAAAGCTACTAAAACCGCTGTGTTGAAACAGGAGATGATAAAAGGCTCAACTAGCTCTCCTAAGAACTGAAACAAGCAAACCCACGCCCCTCCCTCCCCAAGCTCACGATACAGTCCCAGCTCCTGCAAGGTCCCAGCGTTTTGCCCATAAACCCCCTCGCATCCCCATACCCAGGGGGAGCTGCGGGGGCTCTCCCAGCAGTGATGCTCCCCTGGCATCCCCCCAGGTCCCGCTTCCCTCACACCGCCCTGGGTGGGCACCAGCCCCGTGCAAGCAGAGTGCAAACCCCGAGCTGATGTTACACTCGGCTCTGTAAAGCACCAGCTGCTCGTTTAGCAAAGCCACAAGCACAGCCTAAACCCTGTGCTCTGCCGGGGGAAACTTTGCTGCCACTCCTGGGGGAGGACACTGCCTGCCACCAGCTCCCCAAATCCCAGCTGCCTTTCAGTCCAGTTTGGTTGAAAGATCTTGGTAAGAAAGC